TCAACACTTTGGGTAGCCAATGTCCAAGTTGCCCATCCCAGTCTACTCTGTGTATGGAGGGGGTGGGAATGATCCTTGCTGTAAAGATTTGTTCCTTCTTTTGAGCTACTGCATCCATAGGTGTAGGTCAAATTCATCAAATAGTATCAGATTACTCTTTTTTTCCTCTTCTTTCTTGTTCTGGTTGAGCTCTGATCATCCAGTCATTGAAGCCAAGTCAAGTGGGTATTATCTGCAATTGTGGGTGTTCTTCTGCATATGCCCTCTCTTCTTATCAGCCGGATGCTTCACTCTCCACTCTTGTCCTCTGTGGCTATGTCACTGACTCTAGGCTCAAGAGTCCCCAGGTCTTGTCACACTGCTGGCCGACCAGGTCTCCACCCAGGTTCACAAGAGCCTATTGAACATTGTAGGGCTTAGCTCACAGCTTCACTGCTGTTTTTCCCTCATTTCCCCTTACTGGTGATGAACAAGGTCACCAATCAGGGTGTGTATTCCCATTGAGTCTTAGGCTTGGAAGGAGGTTTGCTCTGAAGAGAGGACGCTTATTTTTGGACACAGCATTAAAATAATAATGCTTGTGCTCTAGCTATTTAAAAAGCATAGAACTTACAGTAATGACTACTATCCTTAAGTGATGGGGACAGAATAAAATATTAACACATACAAGAAAAAGGATACATGAAAATTACAGTCGTCAAATCTGCATTTTAATAATTTATTTTAAGTTTATCCCCACCAACTTTAACATGTCAAATTGTTGCTGTTGTTAGATGCCATCCAGTCAGTTCCAACTCATAGTGACCTGTATAGGGTCTCCAAGAGCAACTGGTGGGTTTTAACAGCTGACCTTGTGGTCAGTAGTCCAGTGCTTATCTTACAATTAATGCCACAATTAATGCATATTGAAGTATTAAAATTTTAGGTTTATATTGCCTCTATTTCTATTTGTCCCTAATTCTTAGGAAGTATTAAGTACAGACCAAAGACAGACTAAAATGAAGGTAGAAGACAGAGAATATAAAAATCTGAAAAAAAAAAAAAAAAATCTACAAATGATTTGTTGTTAGGTGTCATTTAGTCAATACTGACAAATTGTGATCTTATACATAATAGAATGAAACATTGCCCGGTCCTGTGCCAGCCTCACAATTGTTTCTACACTTGAACCCATTGCTGCTGCCACTGTGCCAATCCATTTCATAGGGAGGTTTTCCTTTTTCACTGACCCTCTATTTTACCAAGCATGATATCCTTCTTCAGGAACTAGTCCCTCCTGACGATATGTCGGAAATATGAGAGATGAAGTCTGGGAATCCTGGCTTCTAAGGAGAGCACTCTGGCTATACTTCTTCCAATACAAATGTGTTTGTTCTTTTGGTGGTCCATGGTACTTTTAATATTCTCCCCCTATACTATATGTCAAATGTATCAATTCTTTTAGTCTTCTTTATTCACTGTCCAACTTTCACATGCATATGAGGTTACTGAAATTCTAAGGTCAGGTTCACCTTAGTCCTCAATCTGACATATTTGCTCTTGCAAACTATAAAGAGGTCTTATGCCTGATGCAATATGTCGCCTGATTTCTTGACTCCTGCTTCCATGATAAGTAGTGCCATCGAGTCAGTTCCAACTCACAGAGGCCCCGTATAGGGTTTCCAGTGAGTGTCTAGTGAGTTTAAACTGCCAGTTGCCAACCTTGTGGTTCAAACTAATAGTGGTCAAGTGCTTATCCTACAGTACCATGAGCAAAATTAAAATTTATCTTTATATTATTTATTGGTCCAGTGGTGAGGATTTTTGTTTTCTTTACATTGAGATGCAACCCATACCGAAGGGTGTGGTCTTTGATCTTCATCAGTAAGTATTTTAAGTCCTCTTCAATTTCAGCAAGGAAGGTTGTATCATTTGCATATCACAGGTTGTTAATGAGTCTTCCTCCAATCCTGATGCCACGTTCTTCTTCACATAATCCAGCTTCTCGGATTACTTGTTCAGCATGCAGATTGAATAAGTATGGTAAAAGAATATAACCCTGGTGCACACCTTTTCTTTTTTTAAACCAGTTGGTGTTCTCTTGTTCTGTTTGAACAACTGCCTCTTGGTCTCTGTACAGGTTCCTCATGAGTACAATTAAGTGTTCTGGGATACTCAGACTTTGCAATGTTGTCCATAGCTTGTCATGATCCATACAATCAAAAGTATTTGTGTAGTCAATAATGCACAGGTAAACATCTTTCTGGTATCCTGCTTTCAGCCAAGATCCATCTGATGTCAGCAATGAATCAGTGCCTAAAAAACTGTGTTAATAATAAAACACAAAATAATTTTAAAAGAAAACTGTGACCAAATGATAATACTTGGTTAAAGCCCCAAATCTGACAATTAAAACTCATTTATAAATACTGTCATATCCTATCATCTTAAAATTTTAGCCTTTTAATATCTAATAGAGTATTGTTGTCAAGTGCTTTTAAGTTGGCTCCAATGCAGATGCATAGTAATGCCGTATCATAGGGTTTCCAAGAAGAAGCTGGTGAGTGTGAACAACCTTTTAGTCCAGTGCTACAAATGACCTACAGCACCACACCAGGACTCCTCCAGTAGAGTAGATGCATTTTTTAAAATCACATTGTAAGTCTAGTGCCATGTCTAAATTTAGATCCAGTCTTTGTAAAGCAAAGCCATGGCTCTAACTAACCTCTTGGGAAAGGCTGAGATGCATAACAAGAACCAGGGTTTCTTCTCCAATAAGCTCCATAATAAACATGGAATTTAATCCTTTCTAATCCATGGTTAAAACAAAAAGGACAACAGTACAGCACAGAAATAAATAATAACACAACACAGAAAGAGATTGAACTTCAAATCACAGGAGTATCCAAGTGAGGGAAAAAGACTGTTCTGATGGTCTGCCATAAAAGGCTCACTGAACAGAGCATACAGGGATACTTAATTAATAAAAGCAAGAGGGTGAATTCTTAATGGTTCCAAACTGAAGGATCAACTCTGCTCCCAGTCTGCCTGGTACATCACTCTCCTGGTCACCTGTCAACTCATCAATAAAATGAGAGTTAGGAGTAGGACCCCCACTCCAGTGAGTCTGTGGTTCTTTGAGCTTTAGTACTTTTCATCATCTAACAAACTTGTTTTGATCTAAACCTTACCATAGAAACGTGTTTCACTTGTTTATATTCAATTTCATCCCGGTATCCTGCTTGTTGAAATCGGTACAGATTTTCAATCTCTTCTGACCACTTTTTGGCACGACTTATTGATTTTGGTTTCACATCAGAACTAGCCATGGCTACAGAGGTCTTATCACCAGTTATTTCTGAAAGATGTTAAAACAGTGTTAATACACAATTTTGAAAGTCCCTTTAAGAATGAACAAAATCATACAGTTAAGAATCACACCAAATGCATTAATTTTTTTTTTAATTCAATTATAAAATTGAGGACTCATGTTGTTTTTTATGGGGGAAACCCCCTTTGAAAGATACCATTGTTAAATGCTGGCTAGGATGTGGAGAGACTGGGACCCTCCTACATTGCTGGTGGGATTGCAAAATGGTCCAGCCTCTTTGGAAAACGGTATGGTGCTTCCTCAGAAAGTTGGAAATAGAAATACCTTATGATCCAGCAATTCCTCTACTTGGTATTTATCCAAAAGAAATGCAAGCCACAACACTGGTAGATATATGCACACCAATATTCATAGCAGCCCTACTTACAATAGCAAAAAGATAGAGACAGCCTAAGTGGCCATCAATGGAAGAATGGATAAACAAACTGGCACATACACACAATGGAATATTATGCTACCTTTAAGAATAACACGGAAGCTGCAAGCCACCACATAACATGGATGAACTTTGAGGACATTATGCTGAGTGAAATTAATCAGTCACAAAAGGAGAAATACTGCATAGGACCATTACTGTAAAAACTTAAGAAAAAGTACCTACAATAAAAGGGGGAAAAAAAATTCTTTGCTGGTTACCAGGGTGTATGGGGTGAGGAGAGGGGAGGGAGGGGAAGGTGGAGCACAGGGTAGGAAATAAACACAGGATAGCATGGGTACTGGGGGGTGGCCAATACTCAAGAATGGGGAGGGGAATGGAAGAACAAGGTGGATGGGATAACAGTTAAGCAGGTTTGCATGGACTAAGTGGGACAGAGGTAAATAATGATGTATGCACAACCTTGGAACAGGGCTATGAGATACAGGGATTAAGGCATGGTTTGAATGGGTAAAAGAGGGAAAATAATGCTAAGATGCTTGGCTGTCTTTTGAATCTTGGTTTCCCTTGCCTACTATTGTAAAAAGACACTTGAGGGGAGAGAAAGGAATAGCGAGAAACATCACCATAGAAAGCCTGTAAGTCTGTCTTCAGCCTATAAGTCCTTCTTTAGCCTACCACTGACTGGAATACCTAAAATGGGGCTAGAACTTGCCCATTGAAGAAGGCTTCCTGCAGAGCCTTTGCATAACATAAGACCGTAAGTGGAATCCTGAACCCCATTCAAATCTTCTGAGATGGGTAATTTCCACTTCAAAGGACAAGCAGCCTGGAACAGCTAGAAGAACAGAAGATACTTCTTGAAAGAAAGACCAGCAGGAAAAATAAAAAACAATACGGGCAGTCTGATTGACTACTACAAGAACAAGCAAGTTGTTCACCCGGGAGCCATCAAGGAAAGCAGTCAGGGTCCCTCAGGGCAACCCCCTTCCAAGACTGAGACTCAAGGAGAATACAAGAGCAAACATGTGGTCTTGCTGATGACCACATTGGTCACCAATAAGGGGAAGTGGGGGAAAAACAGCAATTAAGCTGTGAGTTAAGTTTGACCATGTTCAATAGACTCCTGTCAACCTGGGTTGAGACCTGGTTGGTCATCAGTATGGCAAGACCTGGGGACTCCTGGGCCCAGAGGCAGGGACATGGCCATAGATGACTAGAGCAGAGAGTGACGCGTCCAGCTTATATGAAACGAGGGGAGATGCACAAGAACACCCATACTTGCAGATAGTACCCACTTGACCTGGCTTCAGTGGCTGGATGATCAGAACTTGACTAGGAAAAAGAAAGAAAAGGAAAAAAAGTGTAATCTGCTACAATTTGATGAACTTGACCTATACTTATGGATGTAGTAGTTCAAAAGACGGAGCAAATCTTTATAGCGAGGATCATTCCCACCCCCTTGGTACACAGGGTTGACAGGGATGGGCAACTTAGACATTGGCTACCCTAACTGGGACAGGGGGCTTACAAAGGCAAGAAATGACTGGCTTACACGCTTTCAAGAGGTAGCCTAGTTCCAGAGGGTATGGGGGAAGATAGAATCTCCACTGAGTGGTTTCCAACATGTCTGGACAGGACTGGTGAAATGAGATGGGGATAAGACTCTTGTGCTTCAATAGTGAATAATTGCAATCAAGAGTGACTGTGAGTGTTAGAAATGTAAAGGTAGATGTTTTGTAACAAAAGGAAGGGAATGGTTGGCTTTGCAGTCCAGGAGTGGGACCATCAAGGGAGAAGAGTGGAGTGCGCGACCCTATCCAGAGAAGCAGTGACGCCAGAGATGGGAGGCAGAGATGATGACTGTGGAGAGATGCTGCTGCTGGTGACTCTGAACTCAGGGAGGGAGAGGGGCTGTGTGCTGATGACCGGGGGCAGGCTTGTGGGGTATACCCTTTGGTTGTTTCATGATACATGGAGGGGATTGTAACCATTGCAGTGAAACAAAATACAATAGGATGAATGTAAAGCTAATGTTCTTCCATGTAAACTATCACTTAATTCACAAAAAAATCTTAAAAAAACAACAAAAAAACACCATTCTTGTTCTTAAAGTGCTGTTGAGTCGGTTCCGACTTACAGCAACACTATATAGTATTTCCAAGGCTGTACATCTTTGTGTGGTACTGTGGGTTAACGCACCAGACTGCAGAGTCATTTGTACTGCAAGGTCAGTGGTTCAAGCTCAACAACTGCTCCTCGGAAACCCTATACAGGGTTACTATGGGTTGGAACTGACTCGATGGCACTTAACATCAATATCTTTGCATGAAGAGAAAGTCTCGTCTTTCTCCCACAAAGCAGAGAGACGTTTGGTGGACTCAAACCTAGTGTTTTACAGTCCAGTGCTTATCATACATCCCGTGCTCCTGAAAGATACCACTGTTGTTGCTGTAAGTGCAATTATGTCAGCACCAATTCATAGCCACCCTGTACAGTGTTTCTGAGGAGTGGCTGCTGAGTCTGAACCACATCAACCTTTCAGTTTGCAGTCCAGTGCTTATCCTACAGCGCCACACCATAACTCTGAAAGATATCACAGAGAACTGTTTATTTCTCAAATTATATTGCACTCAGAGCTATGGAGTGATATCCTAAATGCTGTATTCCATTCTGGTGTTCCCAGGTAATCGTGTGCACAGTTCTGAAACCACACTCTTTCTTTTAACTGCCCAATTGTTGTTGTTGTTAGGTGCCATCGAGTCGTTACCGACCCATAGCGACCTTTTGCACAACAGAACGAAACAGTGCCCAATCCTGGGCCAACTTCTAACTGCCCAATAGATTACCAAAATATCCCACTACCATTCCTTTTGTTTATACTCAAAATGACATCTCCTGTTTCCTAGAAAGGAAATGTAAAATCAGTCTTCTCACTCTCTCCCCTTTCTTGTTTCTGGGACACAATGGCATCTTCTTTTTCCATATCTTAATTGCTTGGGGACAGCCGAATCACTGCAATCCATTTACTCAAGGTCAGTGTGGTGCCCGATCCTGCAATAAACAATAAGAGAAAATATTGTTGTTGCAAAGTGCCATCGAGTTGTTTCCAACTCATAGTGACCCTGTATAAGGTTTCCAAGGAGCAGCTGGTGGGTTTGAACTGCCAACCTCGTGATTCATAGTCTAGTGATTACCATGAAGCACCATAAATGCCATGAGAGCTATATGGCTGCTACAATACTGACATCATTGATTTGAAAATACTGTACAGGGTCATTAATCGTCTTTGAAATTCACATATTCAACTCTAGTTCATGTAATTGTCTATTCACCTAACTTTCATAACTAGTTTTTCAAAGAATAACCTTGAACTTGTTTTCTCAGCTACTTCTTATTTTACTACCAAAATATATTAGTCATTTAACTGAAATAATTTTCATCATAATTCCTTTAGAATTTTCTTAATTCCTTGAATCCATTTTTCTACTAAAACATATTTCCGTTGGCTAAAACACATTAAAGTCAAATTTTATAATGTATCAAATTCATAACTTTCTATTTTTCCAATTACATGATAAAGACTCACTATGAGGGGAAAAAAGGTAATACATATATTAAAGTTCAAAAAAGAAAAGAAGGTAAAATAACCATTTTATCATCCCTAACATTAGGTAAACATCATCTCCAATGCACAGTGAGTAAGGGTAGATTTATATAAAGGGGTTTTACAATACACACTTTGAAAATACAACATATTTTGCTTTACCTAGATTTAACAGGAGGAAAAAAAGAAAACAGAAGTATAACTGATATCAGATAAATGTTTCTCCAATATGAAACACACAACCTAAAAATCCCCTCTTGGTTAAAGAGAAAAAGAACTTTAGAAGGCTGGAAGTCATTTGTCTGAACTCTACATTTCTCATATACAAGAACTAATGGAGCCTTTTCTATGAAAAATAAGGAAATTGGACTTATGTTTCCTCTTGCCTCTTCTAGATTTAATGACATTATTTATTTAACATCCTAAAGTCTATGATGTACACTCTCTTCTGAAGCCATAATTCCTATTGTTGTTTGAACTTACTTCCAGATTTAAATGAAGTCATTTCAGCCATGCAGGTTTTTGACCTGATGAAAACAGTAACTACTTAAGTGAAAATATTAGTATTGTTGCTTTCACTTTTCCAGTGTGGAAGACCAACATAGAAATTGTTCAGAACTAACATAAGTATCTCTAGCATAGTGGTTCGAATCAGGCCGCAAACCTCAGGGTCAGCAGTTAGAAACTACCAGCTGTTCCACAGAAGAAGATGAGGCTTTCTGCTCCCGTAAAGATTTACAGCCTCGGAAACCCTGTACAGGGTCGCTATGAGTCGGAACCAACTCCACGGCACGTAACCACCAAGATAATTAAGGATAATGTTAATATTTAACTTTCTAAAAATTTGTTATCCTTATTTATTAGGTTGGGTTCGTTCGGGTTCATGTTGCATGCTTAAGGCAATTATTATATTGTATTCTATTACATTGTCATTATATGAGTTTATGTAAATTCTTTAATACTT